CATTCACGTTTATAACACCATTAGCAACTATTACATCTAAATTAGCAAACACTAAATTAAAGAAAAAACTTTAAAGACTGTGACTATTTTAATATATTAATACAAAACTTATTAACAAATACATATTATCTGAAAATCTTAAAAATCCTTAACAAAACTGTAGTATTAAAGACTTTTAATTTGGAACATTTCTTTTAGAATTGAAATTTCAAAAATTAGGTATCGAAAATACATATATGTTTTTAATAGAAAATGGAATTAATTGAATAAAAAATAGCTTAATACTTCGTGTACACTATCATTCACTGAGTTCAAAGTCTCATTTTCATAAATATTAGAAACATGATACTTGATCCAGATTATATGTATAACTTTTACTACTTTTATGACATCATATTACCAAAAATCTATATTCACAATCTTCTATATGTTATGTATAATATATCATTAATTATTGGCAAGAATTACAGAAAACTAATGAATTAAAAGTTATATGTTGACCACCACGATCCTCAGATCTAAACTATATTGAAGAAATATTTCGAAAAACCCCACGTTCAAGGACAAGATTGATTCTTCCATTACATAAATCTTACTGAATTTTTAATTTCAAATGAACCGTTACGAAGTTACAGTTATCACAGCAGACTACTTCTTGTAAAGAGACATCCAGGAGATCGCTCACCATTTATTTACTAATAAATATTTTTAAATAAAAAAATTACCTTATAATTTAGAAACTGTAATCTTTGAAACACGAACACATTTTTTGAAAAAGGTCTGATAGTTTTCGAGAAAAAATTTTCCAAAGAACACTCTTTTTTCAGCCTCCTGACTGAGCATGACCCCTTAAAATACTCCGCTCACACGAAGCTAGTAATAATCACACTCAGTCGAAAGGGTGAGAATAATAAAACTCCTGCCCGTCTCAATCAACATTTCATCTCAATCCGACACTTCCAATCGATCCAACACGCTCCACACGAGATAACGTGAAATCGTCGGCGGGCTGGTGATTTCCTCTGCCGATCGCCTTCCGAGACCGGTACCGATTACTTTCCCGTGGGCAAATTACGGGTCCGGAATCGTGCTCGATCGCCGAGATACGGGTCCGTTACGAGGTGTGTAAGCACGTCTAATTCGCGCCGGGCATGATTCCGCTAATTTGCATCAGCGCATTAGCGCCGGTTCGCGGCGCGGCGGCGTTCCAAGCGGAAGATTGTATCGCGCGCGGGCGCGCGCGCGTGATTATTAATTTGAACGGCTGTCCGCGCGGAAATTCATGCACACGCTCGTGACTTCGTTCGCTCGGCTTTCTGGTTTATTGCTTGTTTGCTTGGAATTGAGTCATCGCGATTTCTTTCGCAACCTGATGCCTTTTTTTCGATCGAATATTTTTAGGCAAACGATTGCTTTGTCAATGAAAAAGAAGATAATAAATAAATATTGTATGATGATTTCTCTCATAATTGTGATAGATTCTTTGAAAAGTGATTCTGAATAAAATATGGCAGGTAAATATAGGTCCTGATCTGTATGTATACTTAGGTAGTTATAACAGTTTAAAGTGGATCTGATGGCGTGGTGAAATCACATACTCAAAACGGAGTGGGCCTTAAGAGATTGAAACGAAACAGGGGAATATGAAATATTGTTTGCTGACAGGTCAATTTTATACGAAATTCTCGACGTAGATTCCTTGAACTTGAATGCAGGCCTTGCATCGGAGAATTCGTGAATCATACATACAACGCGATATATTTTGGTATTTTTAATTACATTATTCTTCATTCGTTAAACCTCATCATCGCACACTATATTCTTTTTGCACTATATGTACCTACTTTATATTAGGTGTACGGTAATAACTAATCCACTATCTTTTACGAAAATTCAGTATTTGTTTATAAGAAAATAAAAACATGTGCCTGCTTGAAAATATTTGTTATTGTTTTCTGACATCCTACACTGTTTCTACCAAGCAAGATAGCGAGAAACCGCAGTGACTTTAGATTCTATTGTAATTTTATTAAGAAAATAGTGAATTACTTATTGGTACACCTAATAGTTTATTCCGTATTTTATTTTCTCTTATTTGATTTTATGTTACTTGCCTTTTTTCGTATGATGTATGCAATAAAGGCAATAATAATATTATTATTCATACAAATTTTAACTGTTATAACCACTTAAGTATTGAAAATTGTACCTAATATTCATATGATATTTTTTACTCCGAATGGGTTTCCATAGAATCTGTCAGTTTGTTACCCCGATTACGATTCACCCCGTATTCCTCTATGATATACACCCCCATTCATAAGTAGTAATATCTACTCAAACTATTCAAACATGTTCGAACTCCTCAAGATCCCTCAAACATCTTTTATTTGAAAATATCCAAACATATTTCGACTATTTGTTCACGGACCTATCACTATTCACAAATATTTTGCACCCCAAGTGCACAGATCCTAAAAGTTCTTAAAAGTCTACATAGGAGACAAGTGACCCCAAGTGATAAGAAACTCAAGATATCTCCGAAACTGTGGACTTCTCAAAAAATGTTGCAAAGCATGTTTTAAAGTTTAATGTTTGCACTTTCAGCTATAATAGCCAAGATTGAATAGACTATAAATTAAAGTAATAAAAAAGGGATTTAAAGTGAGCATGTTTTCAAAAATCGAGGCTCAGGTTCCACTTAGGACTGGAGTCTTTATTTCTTTGGGGTTAAATCACTCGTTTAATACGAAGTAAATCTAACAAGACTTCACGAAATTTCTTAAGGTCCTCAACAAGTTGTATGGTTTACGATATAATGAAGCACAACGAACTTCATTTCCTATTAGTACTAAAACATGCAAGGTAGCACAGAGTATACAATTTCTATGAAACATTCCACATTTTCACCTTACAGACCAGATGTGGTAATACTTGGTAACTGCAGTGCACGCCGAACACAAGTAATTTATATCACAAAAAAAGTAGCCAGATTCCTTTCCCATAAGTTCGTTTATTACAGTGTTAATCACCTGCAGAGAGAGAAAAAGTATTTGAAACCGATATCTGTCCAGCCGAGATGCAAAGCCTTGAAACGTGGAAGGGTCAACGGCAGGGTGGGTGGAAAGTCGCCGAGAATAGAGCGTTCTATAACCAGTCAGTCGGTTACCTCGCGGTTCCCGAGATTACGAAGCCACCTCCTCGAGGGCTATGTGAGCGGGTGGAAAGCCAGAAAGTGGGTCAGCAACTGCGAACAGCCCGCGGAACACGAGATACCAGCCCTCGTTAGCAACGCTACACCTTTCAAAGCCCCAACGGTCTAACAGCGGACTTACGAGTGGTGGAGAGAACCGGAAAAACGGTATCGGATTGAATTTGAAGAGGCTGGAAGAGTTAATCCGTTCTGGTTTCAGGATCACCATTCGAAAGTTTCTTGTGTTATTAACCCTAGAACAATACTTTTTCACTTTTCGAGCGTACACTTCCCCTCATAAGTACATAAACATTATGGCACTTATCGAATACTTAGTGAATGTTACAAAGCATTACGAAATAGCTGAAAGTTTAAAATGAATATCGTTTAGGGGATGTTAGCCCTTTAACGCCTAGACCCTTAGGTCGTTATTTCCAAATTATAAGAACGATATATAAAATATATATAAAAATATATGACGAAAGAAAAAAAAATGAAAAAAGAAAAAATATGTATATATTGCGTTTTGTTATTTATATACATATATGTATTATATGTATATGAACAAAAAATGAAAAAAATAGGTCTGTTTAATATCCACATTTTCAATTTCTAAGTAACAAAATACAATATATACATATTTTTTGTTTTATTGTTTTTTGGAGGGAATAGGTACTTCAACTTCTCAACTGAAAACGTGAAGATCTACTTTATATCAGTGAAATTACAGATCGTTGCTGACAAAAGTAACATATCAAGTGGCGACAGAATTTGACGCATTTTTAAAATGAGTGTTACACCAGTGCAACATTGGGAGTTAAAGGGTTAACTACAGACTACTTGTGGCAAACACTAATAATCCGACAACTAATTCGCAGTGCTTTTACTAACCAACTGAACGTTACTTTATATTACCATTAGTACTAATATCATAATTATATACTATATAATGTATTTATACTATTCATAATGCAAATGTGTCTGTAAGTTGCAGGTGAGTAGTATTCTAAAGTAGTATTCTAAAGTAATTTATAAAGACAAGAGCAAATGTAGGGATTTGTTTCTTCTCTTAAGCATCGTATTGCGTTAAGAATAAAATAGAAAACTCGTTGCATTTGACGAAACTTTTGTTTTAAGAACTTCGTTTAAAAACTTTTTAAAGATTTGTTTTAAAAACTTTTGTTAGAGATGAGAAATGTGAAAGAAATGTTTGATTTCAAATACTTAGTCCGCGCAAAGGGTTCTCAAGCCAATTAACTTTAAGTTGGTAAAATTCATTAAGAGCATTTAACAAACCCCCACTGCGACATAATAAATTATTTAAAATTTTATTGTCACCCATCTTCAACTAACACACAAGACATGAATTTGATATAATAAGTAAAAAAAAGTGTTTACACACTATATACTTATATAATGAAAATTTTCATAAAGTTTCTCCATCTTAGTGGCAAATTTGGAAATAATATTTCTTACTAGTGTAAATTTTATATTTTGTTCACTATATTTATCATAAGAGATCTGAGTCTGTAAAAACTCTTCGTAATGATTGTTTAAAAATACTATCTTCGTTCTTAACCCTTTCAGGTTCAGCAATTTTTAGGAAGCACTTGTTAAAAAGCTCGCAAGATTTTTACAACAAAAACACTGAAATCCTTAACGTTTCATGAAATACTTATTAATTTATTATTTATTCAATTGCAATTTGCTGATAAATCGTTATGGAGATCACTTTCGCATGTAACAGGGTTAATGATAAATCGTTACCTTGAGCTTGAAAGGGTTGAATATTTGTAAGGAATCTCACCTTTGGTGTCGAAATGGATCATCGAGCATCGGTCGTCGGCCGCGATGTCGCATTTGTAAACCGCACCGCCTCTGTAAACGCCAACTTGCGGAGTTTCGGCCTCCGGTGCACCCACGATCGCCCTGAAAAAGGAAAGATCGAAGTCACGTGAGATCGCGAAAGCCACAAAGAACGTTTTATTCCTATTTTAAAGATGAAAAACTGCTGATGACAGTTATATACGCAATGTACACGAAATAAATAAATCAATAAATTATTTGATTGATTTGGTCGTGTTGTTACCAGGTCATCGTTCGATATTCATTGTCGTATCGTTAAGGAAAGACGATGATGCGAACGTATTTCCGAGATCGAGGTCAGTGGTCACGAGCTATTTTGAACAGTGGCGCAAGAGTCAGTAACTGATCCGACCAACCGACGAGTTATTAAACCAGGTAACAGTTGCTACCGCAATTTTTATACGCTCGATGATACGTAGGTCGCGATGATACGGAATTGCTGCCGATTGTTTGTAATGCAAAATTTATATTAAGGAGATCATTTAAGTAATCACATAGACAATATAGGTATATTACATATTGCCTCATTTATTAGTGATCTATATTTTCTGAAGTTGAATGTTTATTTTATAAGAAATCAAAGGATTTTGTTACTTCAGTATCACGGGTTTATTAAATAAAGATAGTGGATTATTTACAAGTAGCAGATCTAAGTTTCTTTTGTAACTGAAATTATGAGATTTTTTTTGTATTGTACTTTTTCGTGTTAAATAAATCAATATCTTTAACTTATTCTAATATTTCTGTCATCATTTGTTTATGAAACTAAGTAGCAAAAGAGGATAGAAATTAAACTATATTTTTCAGGTGCTTGTAAATAACAATTTAAAGTTGTCGATTTATTTTTCATTTAAAAAAAGCAAAAGTAAGTAAAAAATATGGTTTGAAGTTTTTATTGTATAATAACTATATTTATCTTATCGAAATCTATAAATAAATAAATGAATTTCTACTTCGCTATAGATTTGTTACATTTATCTATGAAAATGCATTCAGACGTAAACATCGCTGACAAATTATTACGAGTTTTTTACGATCATTATACGACAATTTCGTTGCTTTATTTAATTATATAAACGAAGCTATTAACACAGTTTGAAATTTGTTTTTCTAAGGAAGTGAATACGTATGTCTGAATAAGAATGCGTACAATTATACTATCTCCAGCGTTAGCTAAACCATCGTGTAATGAAGAATCTAAAAATAGCAGTAGCGTAACGAAAGGCTTAACACGCTTAATTATTTTACGATTTACCGTTTGTTCCCAGTTTCGTCTAAGCGTTCTACGAATAGCTGCACTCACCCGATTGCTCTTAAAAAACTACAAATCTAATTAGAACACAACAACTATAACTGTTTTCGAATGTCTTAGTAGAAATTTAATAAAAATTAATTATTCGTCATAAAATAAAAATGAAAGTAGTTTCCAAGTTACAAATTTTCAATTAGATTTTATTAATTTTGATGGATAGACATTTTTTATTTTTCACTTCATCATTAAAAACTATATAGATTGTGGTTATTACTGTATATTAGGGGATTAAAATGTATCTTCTAGATTGACGTTTAAAGAAACTTCAGATGTTTCATGGTAAATTAAAATCATCCCCTTAATCATGAAATCGATTCGCGTGGGTGTGTTCGGACGTTAAGGAAATTGCTAGGTGAGGTAATCGATCGTATAATCATCTTGAGAGTCACCTGGGCTGGTTACACCTTGAAATCACGCTAATCCCACACTGTGTTTAGTACCGCCTACATTCAAATTAAACGTGCACTTCTACAGGAAAATTTTCCATGTATAATTAAACCAGTAACCAATAAATACACGAATAAATAACTCAGACAACCGTAGGATTTCTAAAAATTGACCTTCTTACTACATTCTAGCATACCTTGAACTTTTCTGAATGAAAGTTTTTTTTTCCTAGCGAGTACTTGCGTAATAATTGAATCTACAGTAAGGATTTTATTCGTCATTCACATTATATAAACTGATTTGCAAGGGTTATTAAAAAATACAAACTAATATAGGATGGTTTAAAATGAGTTGAAAAGATACTTATTTTACAATTAACTAAACTCTAAATCTCTGTAAGAATTCTGATCTGAAGTTATTGAGTAATAAATCTTTAAAAGCATTTCACACTCTTTGTATCACCCTTATAATCATTAAATATATTTTCGAAACTTTGAATTTAATGACAAATTTATTATAAAAACGTAGCTTATGTTTCCTGGTGGTCGCATTTGGCTTGTAAAAAACTAAAAATGACCTCGATATTATATGAAAAATGGCTGACAGATACCACTGCTTTCATTATTTTATCACTGCATATGAGAGGACTTCAGTCTTGTAGACAACAGACTATTCACCGCATCGAACAAAAATAATGGACAATAGATTCAATTTACCTCGTAGAATGATAAGAATTTTTTTCGAAGAAAAATGATACCTTACGTAAATATTTTTCATTCAATTACCAATAGACAAAAAAAAAGGTGTATATCGAGCAAGCTATACATTTTTTACTTTGAGTTAAAAATATAAATTTTGACGGATTAACTTACAGAAACTGTAATCAATAATTTCTTTACTGTATTGAGTGATCTAACAAGTTTCAACCACGTTAAATTTGTATAAACTTTTTCCTATACCAAGTTTCAAACAATGATGTATGCTATAAATACGCAACCTCCAGAATCAACTGTTCAGAATTGATTCGATTGCTCAATTGAAATTTACGAAGTAATAATCTATACTTAATTTTATTTATGATGAAGTCTTTTTCAAACTGAATATAATTACATAACGGATACAGTTACATTCCCTAGAAACAAATAACAAAATTGTATGCACTGATAAAACATGCGATAATTATGTGCATTAATCAAAAGTCAAAACTGATGCCCAATATAATAATTTATCCAAAATGATAATCAATATACAACTGCTAATTTATTAGAAACTCAGAAGCGTGTCCTATTTCAATATTTGTTCTCGTTCACCACCACTAAAACTCTTTAAAAATAGGAAAGCAAAGCGGTACATTGAACTCAAATTACGTTACTAGTTTATTAAGAAATAAAATAATGGATTAGTTGAAACTTAATGAATTACTCTGAGACCCTGTGAAATAATAAACAGAAGCAGGCACAATGATTATAAAAATGATTTTAAAGAAATAACAATACTGTCACAGCATTTCACACTTTCAATTAATTTCATTAAGAAATTTTCAAAGTGACATTAAATTCTTTATCGCTAATTTATCGAAAACTCACCAAGCGAACGCATTATGCTGTCGCGAGTAAATTTACTATCGTCCATTTCAAGCTGACAGTAGCCTGACAAAGGATGAACTTGAATGCGCCCGAATGGAACTGACAATCTTTTGTAGGAAACTCCATCTTGATCGTTTGAAATGGTAAAAATGGCATCGTTTACGGGACAACCTTGGCATAGTCTACTAGCTTCTAGGCTGCAGCTACTGTATGTGCGTGTATGTAAGCGACACACGCGTACAGAATCGCGCGCCAAAGCGACTGGAAAAAGAAGAGAGGCAACGATTATGCAAGTTATGTAAGCAATCCGTAAGTCCACGCAACGCGGCGCCAGAATCTCGAGTCGTCGCTTTAATAACGATGAATGGTAGTAAACTGTATGGAAGACTTAATTATCCGGAAGAGATTTCACATGGTGTGTTTAGCAAGTTCCGAGACCGACAAGGGAACTTCGGTCACTCGAAAATTCCGACTTCTTTACAAACTTTGCAGTTTGTAGGAGCTGTTAATATAAGCATGAGATAATTGTTTTAATTACTTTTTGGTTCTTTAGGGTGGAAACACGCCTAAAAGTTTAATGAGGGTTCTTCTATTGTCTTTATATCTTGGCAACTATAGTTGATATAAACAAATTATTACAATGAAAATTTAAGGGCCTTTTATGATCTATAAAACTGTGCAGTGAAATTCTTAAAAATTCGTTGATTTACATCTTAATTTAATTGAAAGACAAATTTTTAATAATTTCATTGCAACATTTTATAGAAGATAAAAAGCCATTAAATTTTCAATAAAAATCATGAAAGAAAAAATTAAATATTGAAAGATTCTATAAATATTGTTGAAAGTGTCAATTAGGATCAGCCACCTCAATAAAGATCTGCGAAACTTGTAGCTGGCAGTATATAAACTGATACTATTAAATGAATTTACACAATTTTTATGAGATTTATAGACATCTGTGATGTGGAAAATCAGATAAAAACTGATTAATACTACAAACAGTCTTTACTTATTGAAATTATCTTGTGTTACATCCATGGTTATATTTCGTTTTTGTACATATATAAACAGTAAGTGTTCCCAACATGGATAAGTTCTGAATATCGCAACACATTTCTATAAGGAAAGATGTGAACAATATACAAAGATTAAAATCACCAATTAAAAGGTGATCAATGTTATCAAAGTGATTTCAGTTACCTACCAGACCCTACACATATCTCTATTCTTCACTCGAATTTTGCACTACATAATATTAAATTATTAAAGTCTAAAGGAAGTGTCCTCCCTCAGACTAACAAGTGACATCAAGCATCGCATTACAATCGTGCTATATCAGTCACTTTGGTGAAACGGCATGGAACAACAATGGACGAGTGCTACAAGATTTATTTTCACAGTCGAGGGATTATACGAAGCTGTTCGCCGACGAAATTCGATACATTTACGACCTCGATGTCCGAGGGATTCGCGGACGCGACGCGTTAATAGCAAACGTGGGTCGGACCTGACGAGGACTTAAGCTCGCCCACTCTATTTTTCTTTTCTTTTCCAGTCGTTGTATTTTTTTTTTTTTTTCGCAATCCCGAGGACCTACACTCACCGATATGTGACGCATGCACCAGAACGGGTGTGCAGGGGCGAACCGGTCCCGCAGGATACCACGAATAACGAACGCCTAGAAATCCTTTTCTCTTCCTCGGGACCGTTACCCTTTTTCTCCTTGTCACAAATTTCTTTTTTCGCCTATACCACTGTTACGTTTATTTACTCAC